ATTAATGCTGGGGTGGGGTGTTGTTTGGAATCTCAGTTGACATTTTTAAAATATCAGTGTGAACTGCATCGTCGTGGTAATTTAACACTTTGCCAACAAAGGAAACAGTGTGATCCTTACTATCAGGAAAATATAAGTTGCTGCATGGCAAATACTGTTTTACCAGTCTTTATGAGAGACATAATGTGAGGTATTTATGGAAGGGTTTTGTTTATAAGAGTAAAGACAGATATTTTGGAGTAATGTGGGTATGGATCATTGAAATCACTGAAGGGGATTTCAGCTGAGATTCCACTGGGTCTCTAGTTTAGCTCTTAGTTCTGCCAGTATGGTCATCAGTGTGATGTCCTCTGTCCCATGCTACAAAGGAGCGGAAGAGGAAAGGCTGGGACTGAATGGCAAAGTAGGTTTGAACTGATGTTTATTTTGTACCATTTGAGGTACTTTGATTATGCATATGCCTGTACCAAATTGATTAGTCATTGTGAGGATATGTGAGCTTAGAAAAATATACTTTTACACTTAACCTCTAAGTGATTATAAATTAAATGCCCAGCTATCTCTCTCTTGAGTATCTGTCCAGTGTAGGAGATGAAGTTCCGGTATCATGCAAGTACATGAAGCTCTTGCGAAAATGTTGAATGAGCCACCAAGGGTATATGAATATTTTCAAAACACTGGGGAGCAGATGAGATTACCATAGATTTTTCTGGATGTTGAAATCAGGATGGGATTGACTTGCTAAATTAATTATGAGATATTTCTAGGATAGGATGTATAATCTCATAAAGCCAAGAAAATATGTTGAAAGTTTAAAGAAAGAAGAAAAAGGAGATAGCTTTGAAACCATGGTTTTATTTAACCTGTTACTGGTATTTCCCCAAATGTTGATTCTCATCAGTGACCAGAAGGTATACATTCAGTTCACCTACTAAATCAGCTCAATTCTGAGAGGAGCTGTGCACTGAGGTCCCAGAGCTCCTGAGGGAGAGATGGCGGGGGAGGGGGAGGAGGGGGCAAGGAGTAAGTATGGGGGAGGGTGGAAGAATTGGTTTGGAACAGAGGGATAATGCTTAATAATCTTGAGACCCTGGACAGTTTAACCTCCTTGTGTCTCAGATGCCTCATCTTCAGAAAATACAGCCTTGACCTCTGGGGTTGCTGTAAGGACTAAATGAGTATCTCTTGGTACAAGGCCTCATCCTTAATAAATATGCAAATATTACGTTTTATTGTTATGTTTGGTACCAAGATAATAAGAAAATGACTGTTTTTGTATGCTATGATGTGTTTTGTTGCATAGCGTTAGATATCTGAAACTGTTGGCTGAGTGTAATTCTAATTTCTTAGGTTTGTTGATCCTCACCTATAAAAAGCAAGAGGAATTCACTGATTCTCTAGTGTTTCTGCACAAGTTTGGGGTTGTGATAAAATAGTTGCGTTTTCTCCAAAGAACCGGATGGCCCACAGTCAAGAGGAGGGAGAAGAAAAGACTTGCATTTTGGGAGGACGAGGGGAGATAGATTGTAGTAGTTGCCCTGGGAACGTTACTTCCCCATTCTGTGTTTTTTTTAATTAATTAATTTATTTATTTATTTATTAAAAAAATTTTTTTTAACGTTTATTTATTTTTGAGACAGAGAGAGACAGAGCATGAACAGGGCAGGGGCAGAGAGAGAGGGAGACACAGAATCTGAAACAGGCTCCAGGCTCTGAGCTGTCAGCACAGAGCCTGACGCGAGGCTCGAACTCACGGGCCGTGAGATCATGACCTGAGCCGAAGTCGGATGCTTAACCGACCAAGCCACCCAGGCGCCCCCCCCCCCCCATTCTGTGTTTTTATGAGATGATCATTGAGTATCGGTCCCAACTCCTGCACATTCCATTCAAAATATTTTGTGATGTTAGGATCACTGAAGTTTGTGCTTGTACTGGTTGAATTAGGAGAGCTGCTGTCAGCTGGACTTCTGTGTTGCAGATCTTACCTGGCAAACAGGAAGGTCCAGACACAGTTCTCATTCAGTGCACATGTAATTGGTCAACAGCGAGCTAATAAATCTGATGGTAACTTTTGCTTTAATTAATAAAATGTACTCATGCAAAACAAGTAATTTAAGTGTATACGCATACGTGTGTACCTGATAATATGCATATATACACACGTATATAAATTATATAGGGTTTTATAATATTAAAATGCTTATTACAACATAAATATAGGAAGAGTACCATGTTACTAAAATTGATGACTGTGTAATTTTATTTACCTCTTGGGAATCAAATGAGCTATTGATTCCACAGCAAATGTGTTTTGATTAAGATCATGGCGAGATATGTTTGACAGCAATTTCAAATTATTAGAGTTTATTACATATTCAAAGTCTACAGTCAACTGAGATGGTATGTATCTGATTTTAGCTTAGAGAGATAAATCTATTATTTTGTTTCAGGTACTATATCCTCTATACAATTACCATGTGCCTTATAAAAACCCTACCCTTTCTGGGCTGGTCTGGGATATGGTATGATGCTCAGTGTCTATGTTTATATTAAATAGGGTTAGAATCATGAATGTAGAGATTAATGTGCTTTATAAATATTTACAGTATTGCTTTCAGGCATATATACAGATTGAATCTGCACTAGTTGAGTTTAGTAGTTAATGATTGGTTTTTTAGTTGTGAACATGGTTATTTATGGTGTTTATTATGACTGTGGCAGTGGATGATTCTGGAAAATCACGGAAAGGGAATTATTTCCAGAGAAAGCTTAATTCCTTGAAAAACTTTCAGTAGGTTTTATTTTTCCACTTTTGTATGAAACTCAAATGTACATCCTGTCTTTAACACATGTAGAATTATTCAAGAATAACAATTAAAAAATCATGAAAATACAGTGATATTTAAATGTGCTAAATGGAACATGGGCCCAATCAGGTTTTCATGATTTATCAGTTTTTAACTTCAAAGACTCTGGTTAGCTTGCATTTTTTAAACTAATGAGTTTATCACAGCCCGTGAGGAGCGTGGTGAAAGTATATCAGCTGTAAATTGGTACAAAGCACTAAAAGGGACATTAGCCTCTAATCAGATTCCAACAGTTCATTAAACCTGTCTTTCCAGAATCGCTCTTTGTCTTTTCCCTGCCTTTGCAAGGCATCTTCTTCCCTTTTCGTCTGGGCAAGACCTCCTCTGGGGTAGGAAGCAATATCAACTCATTCTTCATTGTCTACCAAGCAAACAGCCTAGGGGATGCTTTGTTAGGGTAGGTGTCTGGCCGCTGTGAAGGGCAGGGGTGTTGAGGGCTGGCCGGCTGCGGGAAGGCTTTCTTGAAACTGGGTGGTTGCAAGCCAAGCTGGCTGCTTCCAATCACGGAAGCAAGTGGCACATTAGGATTTGAGATCCATGCCTGATGTGTAAACAACTCACCAGCCTCCATGAAAGGATTTCAAGCTTGGAACAAATTAACTGAGCTTGCCAGGGATACCACAGTTCTTTCTGCTCTGAGCTATTAGGATGCAAAATGCCTACAAAATATGGACGAGTCAAAAGCACAAATTAAAAAAAAAAATGTATCCTGCCAGTTTTAATAATACTGCACATTTCTAAGAAAAGAACCTGACAGTAATTTTTCTTCTTTTTATTACCTGATAGGCTAGGTAGCATGGAATTTTTAAATGCTCATTAGTTAGCTCAAGAGTAAATTTGCTTTTTCTTCCTGTTGATGTCTCAGAGCAAATATTTGTGATAAGAGGCCCTATAAATTTTATTTCTTCTTTTTCTTAAACAAAAAGGAGTGGCAAGAAATAGAGATAATTAGAGCTTTACTATACTGCACTCTGTCGGTATTATTTGGTAATAAAAACATTTATGATTTGTCGAAGTGGGAGTTGTTTTTATTTAACTGTCTATTTGATAGAAAAGCAGCTATGTGAAGGGCAAAAACCTGCAGGTTTAGAAATGCTATTAACCTTTGTCGTCATGTAGGCAAAATATTTGGAAACAGATCCCTTTTTCTTTTCATGAGACCACGTTAGTATCATGTGCTTATGTTCTGTGACTGAGTAAAGAAACCATTCTAAAAACTCAAGTCTAGTCATTTTTGTTTCTTAGTTTGGACAGGATATGAAGGTAAAATTGCCATTCTAAACATGTTTTAAAACATGATTTTGGCCTGAAGCAAGCACTGGTAAGTGTCTTTCTGACTCCCTTCATAGATTATTGACTTTAGAAAATCCCCAAAGCAGTGAAAATTAGTAGAAAATAACCTTGATTTAATCTGTTTGCAAATATTGTTTGAAATTCTATTGAGTCACAATAGAAATAGGTTCTCCTTTAAAGAAGTGGCAAATTCAGCCAAACATACACCAAAACAGAAAACAAATTTATTTTTTGGTCACGACTTCAGCTTAAAAATTCATTCTGAATCCAAAATTTATACTAGATGTTCTTGAAATAGATGTTTGGGGTGGATATATAGAAATTTTCATTTGATCTGAATTGTCATATCACAATTTAGTGTCCAGAATTATATTATCTTGGTTTTTAAATTATGTAGACTTTGATAATAATATGAGAGCATTGTCATTATTTTTATTTATTTTCCCTTTTATGGATTTCTGCACAATGTAACCTCCAGAACTCAGGAAGAAGGAAGCTTGTCTTCTGTGTCCCTCCACTACTGCGAAAGTGTGATGAATTGTTCCAGCCCTATATATATTAATGTTAAGGTTTCTTTACTCCAGTTTATTATAGTCTGACCTCCAACCCAGAGGTCAGCGAATCAGACTGATTAATTCAACTTCTTGGTCATTATTTCAAATGATAGTTCAGAAAGGGGGCATAATTGGTTATACTGCTATTCTCATTTAATTATACTTCATTGTTAAAAAATTAGGTTAGCAGTACTAAATGTACTACAGTGAAGGAAGACTCTACCAGATGTCCTGTTTTGAATGCTGTATAACGGACTTTCCCTCTCTCTCTCTTTTTTATTCTCAGAATATCAACACCTTTGAGAACAGAATGTTAATGCTTGATGGGATGCCGTCAGTCAGAGTCAAAACAGAGCTTTTGGAATCTGAACAAGGGGTAAGTTTCAATGACGCCCCACCCTCTTCTCTTTATGATAGTCGCAGTCATTTACAGAGCATATTGAAGTTTGCAGAACGGTTCTGATTTGCACTTGCCTGGCTTTTCTCTCTTGAGTAAAAATCACCAGAGACTGATTCTCATCCATTTGCGACTCAAATATTCCTAACCTGGAGAAGATAACTTCCTAAAATCAGGAAAGCACAGTGACCTTGTAACAACCATATGGTTTATTTAAATTAGTGAATGTTTTGAAAAGCTATTAAAAAATTCAGAGCAAAGAGGGAAGTATTAAAAAATAAGATGGGACTATAAACTCCATGTCAAAATGGCTTCTTTCTTTCTTGGGAAATTACAGAGTACAGGTATGAGAATGTTACTGTTTGTTGGATTGATTTCCCCTTTGACATTTGTATTTACCCTTTTAAACTTTATGAGGGCTAGAGGATAGTTGAGGAAATACAGGTCAGTGAGTTTGAAATGCGCATAAAAGCAAAAAAAAAAAAGGCTTACTTAAGGATACATAGCGAAATTGACAAATTAACTCATGGCTACTGAAAATATGAAGACTTAAGAACACATCTTTAAAAGGATGTGGGTGATTTTATCATTAACATTTGTAGCTTCGCAAGTTAAAATTATAAGGGCAGTATGACTGCAGCATTGGCTGACCATGTTTTGTATTGAAGTGAGAAAGCATTGCTCCTGTGCCTGGGTACACTGCCTACCTATGCTGCTAACCTACCACCACTGAGACGGTACAGATGACCACAAAAAGTACATAAATTAGATACTTGATCTTGTTCGTATAGCTCTTATTCAAAAAAAGCAGAACATTGGCAATATTTTGTAAGTGAGCCATCAGAAGAAATTTCAAATATGAATAAAATTTCACTTATAAGAATCTGTGTGCATGTGGGACCCCATTCAAGGGGTTAGGATACTATTAAATGTTAAAAGGACTTGGTAATGAGGAACTGAGGTAATGGATCCAGCTGGTAGCATGTAGAGGGTTTCTCCAATAACTTCCACATTCCTGAGCAATATAGGGCAGGGTGTATGGCATCCCAATGTATATCTCTCTTCCTCGCTCTAAGCCTGTGTCTGAAACAGACCCCCATCATGGGAGGGGATATCATTTCACCTTTATGTTCTGTGTTCGTTGTAGTAGCTCCGCAATGAACTTGGTGGGGTCTGTCAACCAATAACACACCTTCCCAGTTCTGTGTATGACATGATGACTCACCTGGGCTCATCCTAAAACTTAGGCAGTGGAGCATCGTGAAAGAAAGACTGTGTGGCAGCTGTTAACATCATTTGTTCATTGTAGACAAAGCTTCGGAAGAAGTCTTACGTTCATCTGGATTTTCTAGCCTGATTCATCAAGTTAAACTCTCTGTCCTCCCAGCCAAGTAGTTTTTACCTTTGCTGTTTACCCTAACACAGGAAGGATTTGTTTTATTTCTTTGGAATTTCTGTTTTCTTAATCTAGGTGCATGAGCCAGTTTCATAAAATTTCCAAAACCCCCTCATTTAACACATCGCATAGACCGTAGCATCTCATTCACAGAGGATAACTTTTTTTCATTGTCGATGACAAAATGAAAAAGTGGCATATTGCACATTGTTGCTTTTTATTCCACAATATATTCTTCAACTTGAATAGCAGTAAAGGTACTCAAGTCATGTGTGTTGGAGGAGGGCAGAAAAGTACAGAAGGCAGTCAGAGACCGCTAGTCAGAGCCACGATGGTGCATTGTGGTCACTGGTTCTGGGAATGTTTGGTGATATCAGGATGTTTCTCTCTCCTTTATTATCAATTTATAGTTTTATGGTAAGTTTGAAAGATTGAGATGCACAAAAAACAAAAGCCAATAGTTCCAGAAGTTTTACAGTGTGAATAGGAACCTCAGGCCACATCATTTATGGAAAGTATTTCCTGCCCTTAAATAGAGACAGGAAAAATGGTAGGTTCATAGGTTTTACTTAATGCCTACTCATTAAAATCAATTTTTCCTTCTTGTGAATGGAGCTGATGTTAGTATTTTAACCCTAATTTAGATTATGTACCTGGAAGGAAGGGAGAGAAAACCCTGATTTTAGTCTTTTCTTTAGTTTTGTATTTCTTAAATACATGGCAGATATAATTTCATTCTCTTTCACAGTAAAGCTTCAAGAGAAGCAGCCCACAGTGTTTAAGGGGATGTCTTATGACCTAATTATTTATGGAAAGCAATAATTTGTATTTAGTCACTTGCAATACTGTACATCAGTTCTTCTTTAAAGTTAGAATTAAATCTAGATTTTAGTGAACTTCACTCTTGGTCATTTTACTGGAGTTTTTAATTGGGGATAATGGGATGAGTAATATGCTGTATAATTTCAGAATCAGAACTCTTTTTAGATAAGGAATGTTAGTAGTCTAAAGATTTCTGTATTTCAATCTTACAGGATTCTTTATTTCTTTAACTTTTAAAAATGTTTCATTTATTTTTGAGACAGAGAGAGACAGAGCATGAGCGGGGGAGGGGCAGAGAGAGAAAGAGGGAGACACAGAGTCAGAAGCAGGCTCCAGGCTCTGAGCTGTCAGCACAGAGCCAGACGCGGGGCTCGAACCCGCAAACTGTGAGATCATAACCTGAGCCAAAGTTGGACGCTTAACTGACTGAGCCACCCAGGCGCCCCTCAGTCTTACAGGATTCTTTTCTCATTTACTGATAAAAGCTGGTTGAAGTTTGATGCTTTGTAAGAAAATGTAAAACTTGGTGAAATTAAAATAATCACACGTGTGATTATCGGCTTCTGAAAAAAGATGAGCTGTTAGTTACAATGGACACAAAGTTAGAGGAAACAATCCCCGAATCACAGCGATGAATGAGAAAGCATGAGCTTGATGCCAAGGATCGGATCCCATAATCACTCTGGAAAACCTACTTTTGAGGCTGTTTTTTAAGACATGACATTTAACGTCTATCTCTTGGGGAAGTAAAGTTGAGTCTGCCATTCAGGCTCTAGGAGGCATCGCAAAGATACGCTACTTCACACGACATCCTGTTTAAGCGATTCACCACGAAGGCACGTATGCCCTTCTCCCCTTCTGGCTAAAAATAGTTCCTTGGGTCTTCCACTGTCAGCTGCTCTATACATCTCCCCCCACCCCTCCAAGGAATTCAGGACCCAATGACCACATTTCAGAGTGGGAAGACAGACTATGGACTGGGCCTAGGTCAGCCACTCTACTTTCTCTCTTCTCTGAAAAGTTCTGGCTGCCTTGCCTCATTCTCTTTAAGTGTGTGTGTTTTATAGTGTGCGGATGTGGTCAGATCTCTTCAGTCAGATTGCGAGCTCTTAGAGGACAAGAACTATTTTGCGTATTTTTCTTGTAGGCCCTGGCACATGGTAAGTGCCCAGGATATCCATGCTTTACATATCTCGGCATTATAACTGGCATGGTGAAGAACTACGAGACCAGTCAAGAGCTTGTTATAAACCTGCTCTGCCTACTTCATCCAGTTGTTGTGAACAACAACAACAACAACAACAAAATTGGAAATACTGGCAACATACATGCTCACTGGTGACATAGTCTTCACCTTGCAGCCATGTGCACTTGGATAGATAGAGGAGCATATTGACACCGACTGTCTGTGCCTTCCTTCTGTTTGGGATTCTAGGACTCCTGCATCCTCAGTTTTGTGACATCTGAGTAGATTGTTATTGCAGGCTCTTGAAATGTGACTTCCGTGTTCTCCAGGCTTGTCGGTAATACAGCACACGCTGCTAAGCAGTCCATGGGAAGGGCATGTGCTCTTGTGATACACTTCAGGGGCACAGCAAGGAGTGTTGGAATGACTTTGACTGTGACCTTTGGTGCTTGTGTCCTGCTGTTACAAGAGCTTCCCGAATGCTGTCAGCCTTTGGATGTTCTAACATGTTACTAAGCAAAGGACTAAAGCAGGAAGAGGAGGACTGGAACGATTCCACCCAGAGATAAGGCAGTGGCAGAGAAAGGGTACTGCCTCAAAGACATAAAATGTGGTTTTGTTCCTGGCCTTGCAGCTTACCGGCTCGAATGGCATTGGGAAGTTACTTCTGATCTCCAGGCCTCTATGTCCTCATCTGTACAGTGGGGGTATTAAAAGCCTGCCCAGGATCCATCTGACATTGTCTGAGTCTGGTAACGGGCCAGGAGGGAGAGAAAGCATTTCCCATTATGAGTTGAACAATCCTACTACAGTATACTGCCATTATAGGAAGCTACCCGTTTGTGGAAGTAGAAATGCATAGAGTTTAAAGACGGACAGACTGGAGTTCAGACGCTCAGTCAGCCAGGGGCCAGTGGTGTGGGTCCCGTTTGGTCTCCATCCACCTGTTTCTCCTCTTCTGGGAAGTGAAGTGAATCACCCAGCCTCACGAGAGCCTGCCTGCATGTAGTGGGTGTTGAATAAATGTTCTCCCTTTGAAGAAAAGCAGGAATAAAAAGGACACCATTTCCTCGAATTTCAATAGTTGCCAATTTTCCTATCGTATTTAGTAGGGACTAAACATCTGAGTTAATTTATAATTTTAAAAGAACATTTAAGGGAAATCTCAAACTGGAACCCTTATTTTTTTATTTGAATTTCTATTTAAGCATATCTGGAGAAAAATTTCAAGATCTGATTAGATTTTATCATGTAAAAAAAAAAATGGAATAATGACGCCAGAAATCCATTAGTTTGTTAAGACAAAAAGACACCAAATTTTGGTGTGGCAGTGGTATTTGGCCACATTTTTTTAAAAAAGGAATTCTGAGTTTGTATACTTCAGAGATAACTTATTGATATATTTACAGCTGAGATGATTAGTTGTCTGGGATTTGCTGCAAATGAAATGGGAGAGCAGAATGGATGGGGAGAAAGATAAGACTGGCCAGGATTCAGTCATTATTGAAGCTGCACAACAGGGGGCTCGTGTAACCATTCTGCCTGATTTTGTGTATGTTTGAAATTCTTGAAAGT